CAGGGAGCTACTTATCTCTGCTACTGTCTCCAAACTCCAAGCTCCTTCCATGACTTTACCTTGCTGGAGATCACTTCCCAAGCATACTTGGTGTCCTACAGTGGCTTAAGGATCACTTTTTGTTGGAATTAATTATCAGACCATAACTAGACATTCAACAAATATTATTTTGTAACTCCATTTGTAATCCCGTTTTACAAACAAGGATCCCCTTGGCTTTCCATCACCAAATTGTACTGCTGAATTGTGTTCTATTTAAACTGATTTATAATAATGCATGAAAATATCTGACTGAAAATGTTATTTCGTGCATGACAGTTCCAATAATCCTTTCTTACTCAGTTGAGAATTACATCTTAAACTTTATAAATCAATTTAGGTTGGTACCCTAGTGCTTCACATGAGGATAATGTAATAGTCATTACTGAGCCCTATCCTTAAGTCATCTACAAGGTTCCAGTGTTAAATTTCTTAAAAAAAAAATACGTTACTTAGAAAAGAGCTGTAGAAATTGAATTGGCCCTAAATATAGGATCCCTGATTAGCCTGAAGATTTTGCTCTGGCATCTTTCCTTAATAAAATGAGATATGGAGATTTTTTTCTTTTTTTTTTTTGGAGGGGGTACAGGGGGTACACCAAAGGACCTCATCTGTTATTGGTAAAACCTACCTGAGACCACCAGTATTTAATAACCATCTCATAAAAACGCTGCTTTTCTGCAGAACCACAGGTAGTCAACCTAAGTAACCTAAGCTTGTTTTTAGAAGCAATTTAAAACTTGCTTTATTTAATAGCAAAGAGAGTACTAAAATGAGATGACACTTCCATTAACCTACATTTCAGTTTCCAAGAAGGCTTGAGGTTTTGCAAAATATCGTGAATGGGAAATCTGTCCCTAAAGAACGTAACGATTCAAGCAGGCGTGTTCGTTCATTCATTACCCATTCACTTATCTACTCGAACTGGGGTCAACTATGTGTCAAACCCAAGAGTACGAAGGTGAGAAAGGCCCAGTGCCTGCCCCCAAGGAGCACACAATCTCCCTTGGGGAGACAGACCACTAACCATCATGGTATGGAGGCAGAAGGCAGAGAGCCTCGCTGAAGCACAAAGGAGAACAGAGGAAGGGCCGATAATTCAGGAGGGGCAGGAGGGCAGAGAAAGCAGCCACCTGAAAGCCTTTCTCAAAGGGAGGTGAGTGGGGGTCGTGTCCCCGTGGAGGATGTCCCAGAGAGAGGAAACTACCTTTGCAAAGGCCTGGAGGCAGCAACATTCATGGTCAGGATGGCTGTGTTGAAGGGAGAGTAGAGAAGTGGCTACTGATAAGGGTGGAAATGTAAACAGGGTCAGCTCACACAGAGGATGGATGTCACACTCCTAAGGAGATCAAACTTTGACTTCAAGGATATTTCCAATTTAAATCCTTTCAGTTATAGTCCAATAATATAGAGATACTTTAAAAGAGTCACAAAGAGTGTCAACTGTAAATTTCAGTTGTCTTGGATATGAGAGACCTTAAGTTAAGCTGCATGAGGACAGAAATGATTCTCTCACCAAAGCACCTCTTCCTTTCCAATTCATCCAATAGTGGACCCACTAGAGATAACTGATGAACTCATTTCACTGCAAGACTTTTACTGAGTATTTAATTTCCCACAGTGCTTGACTAGCTAGTGTATAAAAACACCACACAGATCTGTTCTCACATCTCTAAAAGCTTATAATTTATAACTTAAGACATAACAGTTATTATTCTTAATTTTCAGAACCAAAATGTCATTGCTGTGTGACAGATTGGGAAACAAACTAATCATAAAAAGGCCATAAAAGCTAATCACTAAAGGAAATAAAAGTACGAAAATAAATCAATGTAAAATTACAAATGATCAGAATTTTCCGTTGTTTATTATGATTTATTTTATTGAGCTGAGAAATCTATTAACCTTTTGATACGGGAAGATGGAATTTACTAACTGAGTTACAGGAGCTTTACTTCCACTGTCATGCAGATGGATAATATTTACAACTTAAACATCACCCTCTTTCAAAACGATGCCAACATTTTGATAAGTTACTGAAGTGCAATGGCAAAAACACCATCTCCTGTTACTCTTCGTACGTGTATGTGACACTGGTCATGACAAGTGGATGAATGTGGCGCCTGAGCCCATGCACGGAGCATTCACACTGAACCTCTGTGGTCTGTGAGATCACAGATCAGTCTCCTTCCCTGTTTTGGCTCGAGGCCACCTCTGTTTTGAATAAGACACTCTATCTGCTGAGCTTACCATATTGGTCTGTCCACTGGCCATGTTTTGCAGGGAATCAACTACCATGACTGATTCTTTAAAGTGCTTTTCCTTCCCATAACCCAACTTTAGGAGCTGTTCAACCCATCCATCAACAGATATTTGGAAAGGGGCCAATATTTGGTCGGCACTGTGGTGCCGGACCCAGCTTCTCAAACTGGGAACCCATAGTCTCACCCGAGTGTATGACTGTGAGTCACAGAGAATATGAAGCCACAATGTAAAAGGGCCCAGACTTCTGCCACTGTTTGCTCAATGGTCGATAAGTGAAAACAGTTCTGTATTAACATAATATATGGAATATATTATGGAATACAATGGATAAAAAAATTGCATCCCTTTTTAAGATCACACAGAAGACTCCAAAGAAATTATATGTGGAAGTTGGTTTTGACCATGTCCCAAAGTAGCAAGTTTGTTCTTCTGTGCCCTGGGGTTATTTTAGTGGAAAACTCTGGGAAGCAGTAATACAGTGGAAAGAGGATGAGCTTTAGAACCAGACAGAGCTGAGTTTGAATCCTTGCTCTTTCATATTCCCTGAGACTCTGACCAAATCACTTTATCTCAAGCCTCTGTGTCCTCATCAAACAGAAAAGTTATTTAATAGGAAGATCTATAAAATAAGTAGTACAGCAGCTGGCAAAGCTGGGGGAGCTTTTAAAAATATACCATACCATAAGTCATGTTCCTGCTTAGTTCCTTTCAACGGCTACTCCTGACCTTTGAATAAAACCCTACGTGTTTCTGTCTCAGCTTCTAAACCTTTTGGGGCACAGACCCCCTTTGGCAGTTTGGTGAAGCCTCGGGGGTCCCTCTCAGAATAATGTTTAAATAAAACATACACGATTACACAGGAAACCACTCATATTGAAGTAACATTAAAATATTAATAAAAAAATGTTATGCTACAGTAATGTACGTGCTTCTCTGTCAACATCAAATAACACAACATAGCGGCAGGTTCTGTAATTACAGTAATTTTTAAGTAGTGATGAACAAACAGCTTTTCAGGATATCTGCAACAAATGTAATTTGATATGAAGACACCTGTGATTTCTAGTTGTGAAAGTCACAGGTACTCCTGCTACTCCTGTGGGTTGTTTTTCTCCCTTGCCTAGATTCATGACTGAAGGAAATGCTACATTTCATTTAGATACGAGTAAAGATGAAAATTCATTTTTGTTTTCATCCAACTTTGTGAAACCCTGGCTTCCACCCCTGGATGCTGTGGAGGTTGAGGAAACAGGTGAAGAGTCAGTATTCTACCAATTCTGGTTCCTGGCGTACTCTCTGCCCTCGTCTCCCATCACCATCCCTCTGCCTACCACACTCTGGCCACACCGGCCACTCAACCACTAGCTCTTCAAACACGATGAACTTCAGTCTTCCTCAGGCACCTGCTTTTGCTCATCTACCTGGAATGCTCTGTCCTTGGATCACTGCATGGTGTTTCTTTCCTGTTTTCTCTATCTCAGCTCAAATATCACCCTCCTCTGAGAGGGCTGCCCTGACCAACCCCATCTAAAGTAGCCACCTGCCCGTGCTGCCCTGCTGTATTTTCCTCATCGTAGACATCACTATATGAAATGATCGTGTTCATTTATATGTTCTTGTGTTTACTTTCTGTTTCCCTGCCTTAGAAAACAAACACCATGGGAGCAGGAACCTCATCTACATGTTCAGTGCCACATCGTCAGCAACCAGAACAGTGTTTGGGACAAAACAGGAGTCTGATACATCTTGGCTAAAGGAAAGAAAAATTACTGAGGATTCCAGTAATGTTACTTCTCTCATCTTTCACTCAGGGTTTTAGGCACTGTGGGGATACAAAGAGATGAAAGACAACCTATGGCCCCCAAGTAGTTAGCCTAATGGAGGTGGGAGGTGGCCCCGTGGAAGGCTGGAGTGAGTTCCAGGTGAGGCTCTCTCACTTTGCTGTGTGACCATGGACGAACCCCTTCCAGGGCCTCAGCTCCCCTGGTGCCAGACGAATGGTTTGGACAAATTTAACTCCGTGGTCTCATGGGATCTACAGTGTATTATCATTTAAGAGCTAACAGTGCAAGGGAGCATGTATGGCAAGGGAGGGGTTGTGACCCTAAGCGGAGAAAATTCACAGAGGAGGACAAGACTTGGAAGGGCTCTGAAGTACACTCAGACTCCAACGAATAATGAGGGGGGATTTTCAGAGTCATGAACCCTCAGTGTTGAAAGAAACTGTAAAGGCTACCCAGCACGACCACTAGGGAATGCTTTGGATATCTCTACGAGGCTGTTTTTGGAGATGTAGCATAATACCGCCGCTCTTAGATGGAACCCAGCATGGTGGTTAAGAGTATGAACTGTAGAATAGCACTGCTGGGTTCAAATCCCAGCTCTGTTGCTTCCTAGCTATGTGACCTCCGGCAAAGTACTTACCTTCCCTGTGTCTCAGTTCCATCCTCTGTAAAATGAAAATAACTGCATGGCGTTATAGTCAAGACTAAATGAGAAAATGAATATAATATGCATAACACCCATTTAGTAAATGCTACTTATGATTCTGTGGAATGGTTTTCTCGTGTGTCAAGCTTACTATGTATTCTCCCAAACCATTTTTCCCTTCTTCCATTATAATTGAGTTTTTACTAGCTAGAGGCTACATTATCCAGCTTGGAGTATCTGCAAGCCAATATTTAATTATATCTTACCTTTTCCTTGACATTCACATGAGTATTGAGTTCAGCCATCTTGCTTCTAGTGGAATAAGCCCTACCAAGAAGGGGAAAAAAAAATGATTAACTTTAAAGTTTTAAAATTGATTTCTCAATGTGTTATTTTTATGCTCTCTTCCAATCTAGTAAACAATTTCATTCAGCCATAATCATAAATACCAATTTAGAATATAAAAATACTTTCAAGCTAAGCACTTGTCTTAGATATCCTCTAAAAGCATGTTATGATAACTCCAGACGACAATGTAAAATATTTTATTCATACTGTACCAACATGGAAAATGACAAACACAGATGGGTATATGCACCTAAACTGTGTTTCTTATTATGCAAAAGAAAGGTGGTCAAAAAATGGTGAGAGGAGGAAAAGTGTACCTATTTTAACTAAGCATTGTCATCACAATCTTTACTGTTCCAATGTTTTTTTAAGTCTCTAGTCAATATAGCAAACATTGACTGAGAATTTCCTGCATGTGTGTAACTACACCAAAACACTCCAGGAAGAAACAAGAGAAAGGTTCCAGATTAAAACATAAGAAACACATAATAGTTTTTAAACTTGCATTTTCACTTATCAATATATGAACATTCTGCCAGATCAACACATATATACCTGTATCATGTTTTTAATGACCATAAATTCATGATCTGTAGTCTCAAATGTACTCTTAAAACTGCCCATAACCCTTCTGTTTTCCTAAATTCTTTAGGTTTTTGGCCTTTGGTGTCCAATCTTCTTTGAAAAGTTGCCCACTATGAGAGGATCTGTATTCTTAATATCAAGCTGTGGTGTTTTTCTCCTTCTCATCCGGTCTAAATCTTTTACCATTATTATAGAAGCTACATCTTAAGTCTTTAATAGTTTCAATCTCTTTTTGAAATAGGGCATAACTGACTTACAATGGGCAAACAGATTGGTTCAGAAGTTAGCAGCTAGACAGGCCGAGATATCAATATATTACCTATTTGCATGTTTAATGCTTTTTGTCAATCAAGAACCACTGAAACTCTTTCTTATATCCTTTTTGACTTTGGCTACAAAGAGTGTATCTAGAATTGATAACATTTCAGGGATAACTTGCAAAAATTCTCTGATTTCTCCCCACCGTTTTCTTTTAAGCCTAGGTCTTAAATAAAGCATAAATTCAGATCCATTACCTTTTGCTGATTTAGGATGAAATCTTGGCAATATGTAATCTTAACTCTATTACCACTCAAATAGGAATCCATATACTATTATCTACTATATTATTAAATGTTAGAAACAGTAAAATTTTATTTTTACAAGTTTCCAAATGACATTGCCACTGATACATGCATTCGGGCACGGTGGCAGGGGAGACCCTGCATACTCAATCCCCAGTAAGACAGCTCCTTCCCATATACTCTGCAAAGAGTGCCCATCCCACTGGATACACCTTCCATTTAAGTAACTCTTCCCAATGGTAAATGCTATATCCTCTGCCTTGGCATGAGGGAGAAAGTAAATAATGCTAGCTGGCAAATAATGTCTGAATTTCATTCTCACTATTCTTGCCCCTGAGAGTTACTAGTAAAAGACATTAGGATTATTTTCTGATTACCCATAACAGTGAATAGAGATGGTATGTGAAATATAAACACAAATAATCAGGTGTTTTTGTTTACAAGCCATAGATGTGAAACCTTTGACCAGTCATCACAATGCCTGCAAGACAGTCTATAAGCATGATATCTGAAGACATGTGAATAGTTGATTTTCTTATTCAAATGGAAGTTCTGACATTATGTAGACATACACTGCGTATACACAGATTTTTCTGCATGTGATAATGTATGTACGTATGTGAGAGAATGAGGATGGGGAAGACAGAGAAAAGAGACACAGGCTGCAGCTACGGAGTGAGGAAGGCTCAGAGGAGACAGCAGCACTTGGGGCAATTTGTTAAGATGGATCTGAGCCGCAATTCCTCTCATTAGACTGGATTAGCTACATCTTCCGGGCACATCTACTCCTGCCATTATACATGTGTGAAATCTGATAGAAAAAGGGTTTTGTTTTTGTTTTGCTTTGATGTCTAGGATTTGGGTGTGCAGCATTTTCTAAAGCTGGAGTGTTATAATCTATAAAGAAATCAGGGAGGAATTCCACAGAGGACAGAAAATTTCTGAGATCTGAGTAAGCGGCAGTACTGAATGGTGAGCTAGATTCATAGGAATGTATATATTTCCTTGGCAATTCCCTTTCTCATTGCTTCGGCGTCTAAGTCAAGGAAGACTCTTCTTTGGTTGTGATGCCAGTAAGATTGATTACAATATTATTTTTATTGTGGAAGGAAAAGGCTGGCTGTGAGAGTAGAATGGGGCTATTACAGGTTCCTCAGATGGGAAGATAAGATAAAAATAATTTGTAGGGAGCTCTTCTTTGTCCATTTTACTCTTTATTTTCCCCCCTGTGTGCTATCTCTACAGGCAATTCCTTCCAGCTGGATTCCTATGGCCTTTGTACATCAAGGCTTTCCGCTGGCTAGTACATAACAGAGAGATTGGGAAATCAGCTACAGCTCCAGTTATGGAAACTAAATGAAAGATTTCAATATAAATAGAAAATAAATCTGATTTGCCTTAAGAATTAAGAATTTAAGTGGCTAGATAGTTACATTGGGTTCTATTGATAAGGACAAACAACGGGGACAAGGTTGACCTTCAGTGTCAAAGGCCCTTCCTGAGTGTCCACACCTCAGACTGGCACTAGCCCTTCCAGAATATTCAAAAGCACACCTCGCCTTGGCATGGCATCACATGCCCATTACCTTTCCTCTGACTCCCTCGCCCCTAGGAAAATGAAACTGTGCTGTGCCCCTATTCTTCTGGGATTCTGTTCTCTGCTATGAACTATATCGGGACAGCCAGATCCACTTAATCTGAATCTTAACTGTTTAACTTAAATAGTTAAGGAACTAAAAAATAAAAAAAAAATAGTTAAGGAAATTTTCCTCTAAGAAACAATATATTGTCACCTCCTCCTAAATGACAGGCCCAGAGTTCAGCAACTTGAAACTCCATCCCTCAAAGCTGCAGACCCCCTGGGTTAACCTGAGAAGCCTTTGATGCTGTGAGTAAGTTGACATGTTTGGGGCCAACGGACCTCCTATTTCCTTCTCATCACGCTTGGTCACCATGCTTGATGGTCTATCTCTAACATAGCTTGATCTCGAGAGCTTTTAAGTCCATAAGAAAGGTACAACGATCTCTGACTTCTTGGGGAAGAACCTGGTTTCTAATTCCTATTATCACGACAATTGTTCTTAGAACAGACCAATTACTGGGGCCTAACTGTTCAAATCCACACATACATGTCCCATGCATATAAATAATCAATGGAAAATGAAGATAGCCAGAAATACAAGTCCTGATATTGGTGCAACATTTTAATAGCTTAGGTATTGTTTGAAATGCTTTCCCTATAATTACACCTCAGCTTTCAGTAATAACATTACAAATATACATATACATCATCTAAGTTTTACATATATCCTAGAGAAAAATAAAGATCAAGGAAACTGTTGACTGAAATTTTATTTAGGAAATCTCGGATTGATCTCTCACCTCAGTTTAGATGTATGTTCCATAGTCAGAAACTTATTAGGAAAGATGTCAATCCCAAAGAAAAGCATTTCACCATTTATCTATCACCAATATATCATCTATAGACATCTCCAGTGTAAAATTAATAATCCACAACTATAGTTACCATCAAACTGAACTTACTTATGCAAAGATCTTAATATGCATTAATGCTAGTCAGAAAATCTATTAGTTTGTAAAAAAGAAATATTCTTTATGAAAAATACACCTGAATAGTGCAAATTCCAGCACATACATTTGTTTCAGTATTTCTAATTAATACAGTTCAGAGAAATTTAATATATACCACAATCTGATCAACTGCCAAACTTGGAGCTTAAGAAAGATACGTATATGTTTATATTTCTCATGCAATCATATAAACTATAAAAAGTTAATAAAACAGTATATTGAAATGCCAATTGCTTTCTGATTTACCAATCTCTGTTTTCCCTCCTGTTTCACTATGTAGACAGTAATAAAGTTTCACTTTTGTTTCTCTGAAACCTATTACTGCTCTTAGACTGACTTTCCTGTTCTCAGGTGTCATATTGCTTTTCTTGAATGGAATTTAGAGAGCCAGAGGAAATACATAAGAAAAATTTAAAATAATGATTTTCACAATTTTTTTCAAGGTCATTTATGCAAAGTTTTCCCATGATTTATAAAAAACATAAAAATAGAGAATGCCATTTAGTATGGGGGGGGAGGTGGAGGCCAGAAAAAGAAACTTCCTCGGGTCATTTTCTTGCAAAGTCAGATTTGAATGCGGCTGGTCTGAACCAGAATGTCCTGGGAGCGTAAAATACATCCTGGATTTCAAAGGCTTGCTACAGAAAAGGAATGTAAATTGTCTCAGTAGATTTTTATGTCAGTTGTGTGTTGAAATGATAATATTTGACATGTTGAGTTAAATAAAATATAACATTAAAATTAACTTCACCCATTTCTTTTTACTTTTTTAACGTTACTACTAGAAAATTTTAAATGGCCTATGTCACTTACATCATACTTCTACTGGAAACTGCTGTCCTAGAGCAGTGGCTCTTAAAGTAGGATTCCCACAGAAGCAGTAACAGCAGCATCTGGGAGCTTGTTAGAAATGTAAATTCTCTGCCCCTCTCCAGAAGGACTGGATCGGAATTTCTGGGAGGGGGCACAGCAGTCAGTGCTCTAACCCGCCCTCCAGGGCATTCAGACACACGCAAACCAAACTGTGAGAACCACTGCTTTATAGTCTCTGGCCTGGGAATATTAAGAATGGGCCACTTCCTTGATCCCAATCACTACACACAACAAACAGATTCTCCAGATGCCTAGATAGACAAATGGGTGGGGAGCTAGTTTCGTTAGGGAATGGTCTTTTCATCAACATATTAATAATAATAATATGGGGCACTCTGCTAAGTGCTTGACACATATTTATCCGTT